GCTGTTTGGACTCTCAAATCTGATGAAGAAACAAACTCATCTATATCTTGGATGGGTTGAGGGTGAGCAGATTTTCAGCAAATTGCCATTTGTAGGTGAACTATTCCCTTAATGCATGTGTTATGTAATGTTATTTTGGTGCATATAAATAAAAAATAGTTAAAAGCCTTTTTGTTAAATCAATCAAATCAGAGGGAAAACATGCCTTGATTATTTTTCACTTTATTAGTTTGTGCATTGAATGCTTTGCATTGAGTATTCTGAATATACTTAAATGTATTTTGAATGTTGGTTCCATGGCTTGAAAAAAAAATAATTTTAAGCCATAAATAAACAAAGGATTTGAGGTTACAAGGCCAAAAGTTAAAACTTGATAACATGTTTACGTTTACCGTCATACTAAAATGCATCTGCAAAGTAGAATAAGCCAATTTAGATGCAAAATAAACTTAATTTGCAGAGATGTACCACATTTTTCCATGCCTGCATCCAGAAAATTGGCCATAAGTGTACTTGCAACCACAATCGTTAGAGACCAAAGAAGCTCTTTAATTCTCAGAAATCAAGAGTGGCTCAGAGCTGAAGTACACACTGGGTTTTAGTCTTGAGTGCTCTCTAATCTCCTTCATTATCTGTCCTGAGCTGAACCCGAGACTCTGGTTAGAAAGGTGGAAAAACATCTTTGATTCTTGCCTTTGGAATTCATTTAAAATCTTTCAGGGCCAATCACATATTATAAAATTGATCTGAAACCACAATAAACCTAAAATTTTGATATTGTATATAAGGTTAGCACCAAATAGTCTGGATTATGATCTTGACCTTAGTTGCACATCTTTCGTCTTTGAGAACCATTAAAGCCATAAGCAGAAATAAACAGCATCTTTTCAAAAGTTTAAAAGTGCGGAGGTTTTTGGGTTTTTTTGAAAGAAAAATTCATGCTTTTATTTTGCAAGGATGCAAAAATATGAAGCAGCACAACTGTGTTCAACATTGATAATAATCAGACACGTTTCTTGAGCAGCAAATCAGCATATTAGAATGACTTCTGAAGATCATGTGACACTGAAGACTGGAGTAATGATGCTGAAAATTTAGATTTACATCATTGTATCAAAATGTGATGCATTTTGCATCATTGTAATATTTTACAATTATTCAATATTACAAAATCTTACCGACCCCAAACTTTTGAACAGCAGTGTACATCTCTAAACAATAAATTGCACATTTATAAGAATAAGTAAAATATTTTAGGGTTAAATGTGAACACGTACTGTGAGCAGATTCATGATGGTGTGGCCCGCCTCTTTGAAAACGGAGTCACGGAAACGCACGCTCACCAAAGGCCAGGGATACACTGTAAAAATAAACAACTTATCATGAATTGAAGAAGGTGGTACTTTTATATATATATATATTAAATTTTTCACTCTTTGTTATATTGCAGCCATTTGCTAAAATCATTTAAGTTAATTTTTTAGACACTAATTTTCATACATTTCTAGAAACTGAAATTTCAGAACAGGTTGTTTCCGAGGGGATTTTGGATTTTTATTATTAAACATGTTGTTTAAGCCAATTCACGAAACTTTAACAATTTAGTCAATACAAAAATATGTCTATGTATATTTATATACAGTATATATATATATATATATACATACACACACACACACACACACACAATATATATATATAAATATACAATATATACAATAAACATAACATAATTTCCAACAAAACCACACTTTTATTTTTCGTCAAAAAGTGCTGCAGTACAGAAATTGTATACTGTATTAATTAAAACGTGGATGAAATAGATCTGGGTTGTAAGATATTCCTTAATAATAATAATATTGATACTACTACTAATAATAATAATAATTAAAAGTAATAATCTAATAAGTTGTATTATTGTTATTATTAATATTATTTTTACTTTGAGAAGTACATTTACTATTATTCAAGAAAAAATCACCATGGATTTAGCAATAAAATGTTATATAAAAACTGTCAAGTTTGGTGTATGCAAGTGCTGCTGAAGTGGAGCAAATAGCTATTTTGAGAAAACGTCCTTTAAAGATATGTATTATAATTAAAATGTACAGACACAAAAAGATAAAATAAACACTTAGAAGTTATTTTGGATGTTTTCTTTCCACTAGACTTAAACAACACATTATGAAAAGCCCGAAATCTCAAAACTGACCAGTGCATAAAAACAATGTTTTTGCCTGTAGTGTGAAGTGTTTTGTGTGACGTACCTTTCTGTGCATCCTCGTAGATACTAACATACAGGTTGAATAGGTCTCTAGGCAGATTGTTCTCCTCTGCGAGACACTCAATTATAAACACCAGCTCCTTCTGGCCCACTCCCTGAAGACCATTAGAGCTCAGACACCAGCACCTCTTCCCACCATCTACAAAACAAACAGAGAGAGAGAGTAATGATGTTTAGCATATGAACAAGCTGGACATGATCAGATATTTCAATCAGATTGATAACGTAACATACATGTGACAATCTTGACGTTCACCAGTAAATTGGCGTTGAGCACGAAGGTCAGTGGTTGTGGGCCTCCCTCTTCCAACAGCAGCAATATTTGGCAAGCAGCAGGACGTTCCTCAACTAATAAATCTGTAACGAAATGAAAAGAAAATTACACATTACAGAAAAACACACCATAAAGAATCAGTCACAAAATAACTACCAAATTGGCAGCAGCAATCAGGATATCACCTGACTTCTAAACGTAAATAGTATTTTGCTGTCATCAACAAAGCAGCACATTGGACCTATTTTGCCACAAGTGTTGCAACAGAGGGCATGAATTTCTTAGATGTTCTCATCTAGTAATTACAGTATCTCCAACGTATTGTTGAAGCAGCATGATTCTGGTTAAAAATCACTTGTTTAGTGGGGCTGGAAGATATTGCCAAAAAAAAGTTATTACAATATTTTCCCCCATTTCATTCAATATTGATTTATAACAACATTCATTTCATTTCAAGAAAATACATGAGACAAAATCTGAACATAACTTATTTACAAGTAAACTCCACAGAATAAGCTCTCTTTTAATTTAGGGCCTCATTAACTTGAGTTTCTGTGTGTAACTGACAATAGTTTTCTCAAAAGAAATGGTGAAATGCTGGTGAAGTGACTCTCAGAGCAGCTCTGGAGATGAAGTTCATGTGTTCATATCCTCATATAGTGAGACAGCAGATGCTGAAACACCAAGAGCGAAACTGCACCACTCATTCACACAATATGCTGATTTTTTTTTATAACTGATCAATTTTACACCGCTATTGAACTATAGAATCAATACTGTACTGACTTGAGCTGTCTAACAGCACTCTTGTCTTTTAGAGCTGCTTCACAGCAGAATTTAAAGAATAATTGAAGAACTTTGCATAGAAGAACCTGATTGTCTAGATAGAATGATTTAGGCTAAATATCGTAAATTACTCAAAAGTTTACTTTCGATTTTGTGGATTTGTTTTTTTGATTAACATTGATGTTGATTTATCGCCTAGTCATACCATTTAGACAGGAAGAGGCCGTCAAATTGACAGCTACCCTCTAGTTTATGCCTTTAAAGGTCACATATTTTAAACCTTTCTGGAGTTTTATTTTAAGTCTTGATGTCCTTAAGAATATATATTTGCGGTATAAGTACCAAACACCATCTCAATATATTTTTTACAGCTCCTCTCTCAGGAGCTCTGCTGAGAACAGGTGGATTTTGGTCTGTCTAATTAATATTCATGAGCCTCTCTTCTGATTGGCCTGTTGTTTTCTGAGTGACGCACGGCCAGGCCAACCACAGGTAACTAGGGTCAGCGACGTCACAGCGCTAGCTGGAGGCAGCAAAACAAAGGGGAAACTAGAGGCAGCCCATTCAAACCAGCGCAGATTCAGCTACATGAGGAGCTTAAAATATCATCTTGTTGTGATGTTGGGTGCCAGAATCGACGTAATACAGCCTCAAATTAGAAATTTTAGCGCATATCTGCTGCCACTGCCAGACAAAAAACCGACGACAGCTGTGGTTAAACGCGATAAAACGAGCGGATTGGACAGAAACGATCGTCAAAAATGCTTGCGTTTGCAGCGCACCCTTCTTATCAGAAAAGGTTCAATAAAGTATTAAAAAGTATTGTCTTTTGTTGTTATGGGCGGGTCTACAGATTTCTTGCCATATGTCTATGTTTCTTGCATCTCAAGACAATGTCGTGTATGAAATAATGTCTGTGTGCATGTGTGTAAAACAACAAACTAACGATTTATATATAATCATTTGTAATTGTATATACATTGTTGTGATTAATTGTGGCTGGAACAATAATGTAGCTGTAAAAATAGTTGCCTGCTGAAATTGAAATGTATATACATCTTCATCATGACTAGATAGACGGTGAGTTTGTCTTTTCTATACACATTAGATGTGATCCACCTCATAGTAACAATCCTGTCAGATCGTCCATCCTTTGAGTGAGAGTGTAACGTTACAGGTCGGCCGATCTGGTTTCGTGGTTAAAGTTAAGCTTTTCGACATGTTTCCGTGTTGTCGTTGCTCAGCAATGGCATGGACGCGATGTTGTCTGGGGGTGTGGTAAAAGGAGAGTGGAACTGTGGGCGGTGCTCGGGGTGGTGACAGAAGGCGGTGACTTTTTACGGAAGTCACAACGGTTAGTGAAAAATCACAGCTACTTTATGCAGGTTGTGTGCATTTTACTGTGGACTGACTGTTTTGAAACTTATATGGTAGTTAAATAGCCCCCTCGACCTCCGTTATCGTGAAAAAAGCCAGGAAATTTCAGTTTTGACAATATGGGACCTTTAAAAGTCCTCACCCCCATATTCCTCCTCTCCTGTGGTAATAAGCAGTGGAGGCAGACCGTCGTCGTCCTCCGGCACCAAACTGACCACTCCCTGCACACAGCTGCCCACCACACAGAGCAGGCCGTAGTCCCACGGGCCTTTAATGGGCGGGCGGCTCACCTCAACAGCGCTGTCAGAACTTCCTCCGGCACTCTGATCACACTCGCCAGGAAATTTACCATTGGGCTGAAAGGCAGCGAATCAATGAATGACTTCAGTTGTCATTATCAGTTCTCTCCAGCATCAGTTAAGAGGATTTAGCCGTCTCACCCCCGGCGGGTCTGGCGTTACTGGGCTCGACTCCTGAGAGGATCTCCGGGTCTGTACAGAGAGTTTGGTGGTGTCGGCGACCTCACCGTTCGGCAGGATACCATCGGCAAACCACACGTGCTTCTGCTCACGTGGAAACCCTACGAGAACAAATGGAGAAACACAAACAGAAGGTTTATTGTTGTCAAGTAAACTAAAATATCTAAAACCATACAAAAACATGTTGGTTAATAAAATAAATATTATTGTTGAAATAAAATAAATGTTAACTGAATTAAAATATAAAAATGTTAAATGTATTTTATTTCAGTTATTTGCCAAGGAATCATTTATCATTTTATTTTAGTTTAACTTGAAGTACTAAAGTAACAAAAACTAAAAGTGAAATAAAAATGTATAATAACTATATAGACATATTATTAGGGATCATACCACCTTTTCCAGAATGAGTCAGATACCGATACTTTTATTTTTGGTACTTGCCGATACCGATTCCTGTATTTTCGTTACATTTGTATTTATTTATATATTGGGTACAGAAAGCAAAAAAATATGAATCATATTAGCTGGCTTCATTCAGCAAAAAGATATTTCTTTCAGTTATTTTCACACTTAATTAAGGATGCCCTCGACTAAAGATTTTTCTGGTCGACTAGTAGTCGTTCATTTTTAGCAATTAGTCGACTAATCGCACGCTTCTATTAATAAACCGGTAACACTTTACAATAAGGTTACATTAGTTAATGTAAGTTAATGTATTAACTAACATGAAGAAACAATGAACAATACATTTATTACAGTATTTATTAATCTTTGTTAATGTTAGTTAATGAAAATACAGTCGTTCATTGTTAGTTCACAGTGCATTAACTAATGTTAATAAGCACAACTTTTGATTTTAAAAAACATTAGTAAATGATGAAATGAACTTGAACTAAGATTAATAAATGCAGTAGTAGTATTGTTCATGCTTAGTTCATGTTAACTAAAGTAGTTAACTAATTAACCTTATTGTAAGGGTTACCAATAAACCATATAATTCATAATAATGAGCCTTTAATTGCCTATAGCCTATTAGCGCTCAAGCACATGCATAAAACTTTCCACAGCACACCGCAGAAGTAATGATTATGAATGCGTCAGGGAAAAAACAGCAAGAAGACTGCCTTAACATTATAATAATTAATTGATAAACTAGTGTTTTCTGTATTTTCGGCTGCAGTGATGAAGTCGACGACACTGACTCATCATCTCCACAGTAGACGTGCATGTTTCATATGGCTTACATTATATGAAAATATTTGTTTTCCACTTGAATCAGTTAATTTAAAAGTAAACATTTCACTTTCTATAGATATATTTTTCATGTCTGTGAGGCAAGCACAGATTTTCAGTTAATTAATTATTTTTTGACATGGTCAAGCTCACGGAGACCTAGACGGCAGAAAGCGCACCCTGTTTGCTTTCATTATTTTACAAAAGCACAACGTTTTGTTGTTATTGTGAGTGCACACAAATAAAAGTAAAACTTTTATAAATTCGATAGATGTATTACTCTATATGAGCAAAAAATGACAGAGTATTTTAAGTTAAATGCAAATGATCGCACCGGTGCCTCCAAGTGAACTGTCACGCAGTGAGCGCGCTACTATTCAGCTTCCACATTCCGCACAAACACTTCAATAGTACACACGTTTCTAGGTTAACGTTAGAGCGAGCGGCCATGTAATGATGCTACTACTTACATGTTTCAGTAGCCACATTTGAGGTCGGTGAACGAAACGAACGTTTGGATGTTTGATGTACTGTAACTACCACATAAACCAGCTGTTAATGATCTGTCAATGACTTCGCCACTTGCTGTGGAATTTTATTTCTGCGACTAATACAATTTTGATCGACTAAGCTTCTTCTTGTCAACTATTGGGGGGCAGCCCAACACTAAATTATGCTTGATGTTCAAATATTGATTATAGTGAATGCACCAATAATATTTTTTTGTTTTATATTTACGATTTAGTTTTAATCCAAATGATGCATGTGCTAACGGAGCGAACAGCAATGAAGATCATGCAATAGAAGTGTGTCTCTCTCTCTCTCTCTCTCTCTCTCTCTCTCTCTCTTTACCATCAAGTAAGTTTAGGAATTTGTGCATTGTTTTACTTACTTGCTTTTGACATATCCGACTGAACTACAAACTTTCCAGTGATGTTTGGAGAAAGATATATTTGATTGACAAGCTCGCACATCTGTGCCACCGCAGGCTCAATCCACTCAGCGTGCTTTGCTTATCAGCTCGCGCACATCCGCTATACAAGCGTGAATATTTAATGTTTAACATTATATTAATTACATACATGAACTTCATAGACATCCTTAATCTCTAGTAACTCCATTCTGCTCTCTGTTGTTCTGTTGTCAGAGTTTCTTCTCTGTCTGGACACAGCACTGTTCACATGCTGTGTGGTATCGGAGCACTTTAATGAGTACGAGTACAGGAGAGCAGTATCAGGCCCGATACCGATATTGGTGCATCCCTACATAATTTTAAAAAAAAATTACAAAAACAAAAAAAAATTGCAAAAAATGAAGCTAAAATTTAAATGAAAACAGAAAATACAAAAAAAAAAAAAAATAATTAAAAAATATTAAATAAAAACTACTATAGCATATCAATTCTACTAAAATAACAGTCTTGAAGCGGTGTACCAAATAAAGTTTGCTTAAAGTTTGGTGTGATGAAGAGGAAAACATTTTTTCTATTACTAGACTAAAAATACACTACCGTTTGGGTTTTATAATGTTTTTGAAAGTCTCTTCTGCTCACCAAGGCTGCATTTATTTATTTATATTATTACAGTAGAAATCGTGAAATATTATTACAATTTAAAATAGCTGTTTTCTATTTAATTCTATTTTAAAATGTATTTATTCTTGTGAACAAATCATTGCTCCAGTCTTCAGTGTCACATGATCCTTCAGAAATCATTCTAATATGCTGATTTGCTGCTCAAAAAACATTTCTGATTATTATCAGTGTTGAATACAGTTGTGCTGCCCAATATTTTTGTGGAAACCATGATACATTTTATATTTTCAGGATTCTTTGATGAATAGAAAGTTCAAAAGAACAGCATTTATTTGAAATAGAAATCTTTTGTAAAGTTGTAAATGTCTTTACTGTCTCTTTTAAACAATTTAATGCATCCTTGCATAAAAATATTAATAAATATCTGATAAAAATCTTAATTCAAAATCATACTGACCCCAAACCTTTACATAACAGTGTATAGTGAAGCTAACCTAATCTAGCACACTATATGATATGGAGTGCATGCAATTTGGGACGCAGTCACTCTTTCTTTCATGAACTAACTCTATTAAATGGAGGTCACAGTGTTTTACAGCCATAAGAGCTATAACTCTGGCTCAGAGTGCAGTGCGTACCATCATTACCGGGGTGTTTGAGGACAGAAACGGGGACCATGACGGTGGGTGGGGGAGAGTTGAGGGTGCCGGCGGCACGGGCCTGCTGCATGGGCGGTATGGTGGAGCAGTACTCTGATGGGATGTTGGGATTGGGACTGGGCCCAGTAGGGCTCATCATTCTCTCATGGGCTTGAGCTGCATACAAACAAACAAAATCAGCCATTCCCAAATCAGTCTTTTCAGTGTGGTGAATGAAAGGTCATGCTGGGAGAGAGAATGAGAGAGAGTAAGGAACAGTGGGTAAATGTTGTAGAAATGTATGAGGTTTCGCATTAAAGGCTATGCACAACTTTAATTAACAGCCACCAAAAATTAAAATCAATGCAAATACTCCTGGTTTTGTGAACGATTCATCAGTGCACATTATACTACAGAAAAATAAAATATTGTCTTGTTAATTTTGCATCAGAATTAATAACTTACTCAATATCTGACTTGATGTTTCTTTCTTCTGTTGAACACAAAAGGAGAAATTTAGCACAAAAAGTACCATAAAAGTAGTTATAAGTAGACGCGCGTGCTGACGTCGATGTCTCTGTATGAGGAACGGTCAATATTTATTGAAAATCTTACAAAATCTTCACTGTAGCTAAGTGAATACATTTCAATCTGTTCCTCACACAAATAACTTTAGTATGATGTTCAGTATAGGACATTGGCAAGTATGAACTACTTTTATCGTACTTTTTTGGAGACTGGCAACCTCTGGTTGATATGCTTTAATTTTATGTAAAAGTGAGAATGTTCTGCTTTTTGTATTCCACAAAAAAAACAAAACAAAGGAAGTTTTGGAACAACTAAATGGTGAGTTGGTGACAATTTTCATTTTGGGGCGAACTGCCCCTTTAAATGCAGTGAAAGAGCAGTTCAAATGTCAAATATATTTATATACACTACCATTCAAAAGTTTGGGGTAAGATTTTTTTTTTTTTTTTTTAAGTAATTAATAGTTTTGTTCAGCAATGATGCATTAGATTGATTAAAAGTGACAGTAAAGACATTTATAATGTTACAAAAAAAATCTATTTCAAATAAATGCTGTTCATTTGAACTTTCAATTCTTTAAAGAATCCTGAAAAATAAAATGTATTACAGTTTCCACGAAAATATTGGGCAGCACAACTGTATTCAACACTGATGATAATAAGAAATGTTTCTTGAGCAGCAGATCAGCATATTATACTGATTTCTGAAGGATCATGTGACACTGAAGACTGGAGGAATGATGCTGAAAATACAGCTTTAATCACAGGAATACATTTTATTTTAACATATAAAACACTTATTTGAAATTGTAATAATGTTTCACAATATTATTGTTTTTACTATTTCTGATTAAAAATAAATGCAGCCTTGGTAAGCAGAAAAGATTTCTTGCAAAAACATTAAAAATCTTACAGACTCTTTGAACGGTAGTGTATATAATGTACACTATAATATCTATTGTTGTCGAGGTGTTGATACGCGGTAAACCAAATGATGACTAACAGCACAAACCTCATTCAGCTGAGTCACATTCTAATAAATCAAAAACATCAAGCTTTTACAAGCAAGAGCATTGAGTGTCAATAACAGCACTTTTGTTATTAAAATGATGGGCAACGAGCCACCAAACCGAACTCAAGAAACAGGACGTCCAGTGCAGACACAGACCAGTGTGCTGCCACCTCCTCCAGCCGTGAGTCAGCCGCGCTGTGCAATATGTTGATTAAGGCTCATAGATGCTCATCGACCTGATTACACTGGCACTGCCTGTGACACCCCCAAACATGTCAGCTAGAAGCACGAAAGCTGAAATATGCTGGCTCACGGTGAAAACGGCTACGACCACAAGACAGATGGGAACAGTGAAGCCAAGAACCAGCAGGACGGAACGTCCTTCAGAACGTGGAAATTCACTAAAGATGCTGCAAAAAAAGTTACAAACTTAAAAGTGCTAACCAAATAAAATGATCATTTACACTTCAAGCCTCAAGAGGGCTCGATTTCAATTTAGTTCAGTGATATCCCAAGCTTACCTCATCCTAAATTAACTCTCTTCCAGGTTAATCACGGGTTGCATGTTAGTCTCCCAGGACAGTGTTAGTGTGCGCCGAGCGAAGGAGGAAGTGTCTCCCTTGCCATTAAGCGAGAGAGAGTCCGCAAGTGAGTGAGATAGAGGGCACATCCTTGAGCCTCTCTCATCCCGGACGGGGCGCAGCTCACTTCCGCAAGCTCACGCTGAGTTCTCGTCTGTCCTGGAGCAGGCGAATGTCTCTGGCTCCGAGTGCAAGCTCAGTCCGTCCGTCACACACACACACATACACACACACACACACACACACAGAGGTCGTATTAAATGGCTGCCCTGGGCTGAGAGTGGTGACAAACCCTCCTCGCCTAAAGACGAGAGGTGTGTGTGTGTTTATATGTGTGTCTAACTCTATTCCTCAACCCGGAGTGAATGAGAGACAGTGTCACGAATACTGCACCAGGTGGGTCCTATACCACACACACAAACACACACAGACACAAACACACACTCAAGGACATGCACCAGTGCCCTGGCTCCACCCAGCCCTGCACCAAACCCTGCGAGAGCTGGCTGGTGACTTGCAGCACTGACGCTCTGTGATGAATGTCCTTTTTGTGCAAATGGACCGCACGCTCGGCCACACACCGTGTGCCAGCCTCTTTTTATAGACCGACCAAGACAAACATTTTTTATAAATAAATAAAGCCTTGATCTTCAGCCCTTAAAAAATAAAAGAGCTTGAGATGTTTGGTCCACAAAAAAGTTGGACACAAATTAAAAGGGTAGGGAATCTGCTTCTTTTAAAAGGGATGCAAGTAAGCCAGTGTTATTATTGCTAACTGAAACTAGAAAAGTAGTAAAGCTGAAATTAAATAAGATATACATATTAGATTAAAAATGTAGAAATGTTGCCTTGGCAACTAAGTGAAATAAACAAGTTGAAGTACTAAAATGACTAAAACTGAAATAAAAATACATTAAAGCTGAATCGAAATAACAAAATAGAAAATTCAAAATACAAAAATAAAAGCTCATTCAAAATATTAATAAATACAATTATAGTATATAAATAATAGTAAAATAACAAAATTATATAGGCCTAAACTAAAATTAAACTGAAAACTGAAAACACAAAAAATAAAAACCCTAAATCAAATGATTAATAAATACTATAATATAAATAATGCTAAAAATAACAATGTCATGATAGCATTGCCCCACAATTAAGGAAATCAATGTCATCTTTCATTTAATAAAAAAAATGGCATTAAAAATGAAGGTTAAGAAAGGATAGTTATAAATAAATAAACTGAGAATCCACCACTGGCAAGATGTGCATTTGATAAAGCTTGGTTGTCTTGTCTATGCAGTAGAAACGCAAAAAACTAGGGCTGGCTCGATACCACTTTTTTAGAACCGATCTGATACCAGAAATTCTGAGTATCTGCCTATACCGATACCGATCCGATACAGCACCATTTTTTTTTTAATCAGTGTAGAATTACTATACTTTACTATCAGGTCATGTGTTGACCTGATCATCACTCTTTTGTGTGTTAAATACAATCTACCACATATAGACAACTTCATTGTAAAGAAAAACAACAAATGTATAAATATATAATCATAATCTATGATAAAAATGCTACTATAAACTAGGTTAGTGGATAATTCAGTAGCGAAAGTTAGTCTAGAAAAATCATGAGTGCACAATAATTTTTTCAAATCTAAATATTTAGTGAAAAAATTAATTAGTGGGGAACAAATAAAAGTGAATAAGTGTAGGGCTAAATCTGGTAAAATGTCAACATTGCTCTTTGTATTGTAAAATAAATTCATGAAAAACAAGTAGCTTAATATATTTATATATTAATTAATATACTATTAAATTAAAAGACATTTCTTTTAAATGTATAGCACAGTAATGAGGCAGCAACATATGATAGATAAGACAACAAGAAAGGCTATTAATAATCTTTCATTGTGCAAAAGTATTAAAGGCTCCTATACGGAGCAGCACAAAGTGCTTATGTGCATCCCGTGCGCAGAATGATGCGCTTGAAGCAACACGGAGTCACAGCGCGCAGCGCTCCTCATAGAAAAGTTCAAAGCACAAAGGGAAGATGATTTTGATGCGTAATGTATTATATCTGTGCGATAGTTTATTGAGCCTTTTCTTTTAACAGCTTTAAATTTCAGTTACTGTGCACATGAAGAACAATTCATAGTACTCTCTACTCCATGATCTAACAGACACCCGGTAGAAAGTAACGTTAACATGCTTTAGAAACAGCACTAAACTCCAGCAAGATAAAGTCCTTTTATGCAAAACCACTGATCTTTATCTACAGATCAAGTATAATAATAGGATGAATCATCATATCATCATCATCAGTGAATCATCTTGGAGAGAGTTTTATCGTCTTGACTGTCTCACCGAACGCGACGTGCAGTTTGAATGCTGAATGGAAGATGACTGACAGCTGCAGCGGAGAGAAGAGTTTACGTGAACTTGCATTTATCAACTTAAAGGTGCAGTAGGAAATCTTGAAAAATGCTAACTTTAGCCTGATAGCACAGAAAGCGAATGTTCCACCCTCCCTGCTGTCACCGTCCAAACCAGTGTCACATCCAGTCTATAGAAATGAGCAAATGTGTGCGGAGAAGACCAGTTGGCTTCCGCGCAAATTTCTTGAATAGAAATGCCTCTAAACAGAGCCCAGGATGTAGCCATACCTCTAGTAGTGTGCTTGTAATCCTATTGGGGGCTCTATATTCTCATTGTTGTAACAACACGATAGCCTCCACCACCCAGTGGGAAAGGCGTTGAAGGGAGATGGGTTTTCCTTTGTAATAGTCAGCCCACGAGACAAATAGCTGATTGCTCTTACGAAGCATGCAGGTTCTCTGAACATGCGTATTCAGAGCACGAACCGGACATAAACTGTGTAACCTCTCCTCCTCTGGGGATGAAAAAGGTGGTGGATGAAAAGCTAGCAGGTCCACTGATTGAACTGCACCAGCGTGATCAAACACTTTAGGCACAAACGCCAGGTTAGGTCTAAAAGTTACTTTTCGACACCCCAGAGCGAACATCATACATGAGGAGTGAACTGATAAAGCATGTAGCTCACTCATCCCTTTTTGCTGTTGTGAGCGCAAGTAACAGAGCCGTCTTTAAAAGCGAGCAGCTTCAAGGCAATGTTATCAATGGGTTTGAAAGGGGCTCTTGAGAGCACGCTCAGAACTACGGACAACTCCCAAGGCGGGACCAGTGGCTTCGATACTGGGTGTAGCCTACGTGCCCCTCTCATAAATCGACAAACGAGAGGGTGTTGGCCAATCGTACCCACGTTAAGACCAACATGACATGCCGAGATAGTGGACAGATAAACCTTAACTGCAGAGAAGGCTCTGCCCTTATCCAGAAGGTCCTGTAGGAAGCACAGCACATCCGAAACTGAACACAAGAAAGGAACAATGTTTCTATCTGCACACCATTCCTCAAACCCCCTCCGTTTGAGATTATATAAAGAACGTGTCGAGGCAGCCCTCGCATTCTGAACTGTCTCTATCACTTTCGGAGGTAACCTAGCTGCATTCAGATTTAGCCTGTCACGGGCCAGTCCCAGAGAGCTAGTTTCTGAGGGGAGGGGTGAAATATTTCCCCCCGTGCTTGTGAGGAGATCCCTGCGTGCTGGTAACGGCCATGGCTGGTCGTAGAGCAGTTGCGCAATCTCCGCAACCCACAGCCTCCCCGGCCAGTATGGCGCGATCAGAATCATTACGTTTGCATTGCCGAACCCTCCGCAGGGAACGCGTACAGTAACACGTCTGGCCACTCATGGACTAGAGCAGCGGTTCCCAAACTGGGGTGCGCGCACCCCTAGGGGTGCACAGACCGACCAGCAGGGGTGCGTGAGAGAATGCTTTTGATGATCTGTGTGCATTTTTTGAAGGGGCAAGTGAAAGCGAATTTCAGGGTGAACTCACATCCTGTGCACTCGGCGGACACGACTGATTTGGGGGAAGAATCTTCATCATCCTCATCCTTGTCCTCAAGGATGGCCGACAACACTTCGTCCTCGTCATCTTCCTCTCCTGCTAACGGATCTTCAAACAGCGGGGGAAAGACGGGTGAAACCCTCTCCATCATCTCTCCCCACGAACTGACGGCCTGCGGACAATCCATCGGTTCCTCTCTGGGTTGAGCAGACTACCGCCACGCGGAGTCTCCGCTCTCGGGTTTTAGCCGAGAACTTTGTGCAGTGAGGACAGCCCTCGGGGTTAGACAGAGCTGCCTGAGCGTGTTTAGCGCCCAAACAGGAGATGCAGAGGCTGTGTGAATCCTTCTCAGAAATCCACATTCCACAAGCACACGGACGTGGAGGAAGACCTTTTCCTCCGGGGCTCTCCGGCTCTTTCGCAGTGGCCATGGGGCCTGCACTCTCTTCGTACAGTAAGCCCACCACAACGTGACAACTAGTACGGAGCTGTGCTGCGATAGAGAGCTCTCTTTTCCTTAGTTTTGGTGCGTGGTGAGCGCCCCCAAAAACTTGGAAAATAAATTGAAAACTTAGAGCAGAAAACTCGCCCTGACGCGTTAGTTATCTCACTCTAAGTGAAGTCGCTCAACAAACGTTAGGAATATATTCCGTTTGGGATGTTACCTCGCGGCTCCGTCTGTAAACTGTTAAGCAAATAATTCCCGAAGTCTGCTGAGCCAGCTTCCGAAAATCTTCACGGGGAAGAGAGCGAGAATGATGATATGGCAGGTAGCTGCGGTTTATATACAGGGAGGCGGGACTCCCTGATTGCTGCAGCGATTGGTCTGCCATAGTTGGCAGACGTGGTGTTATTGGTGCTTCTGCGATCGGTCACGCCTGAGGTGTTCCCATAGTGAGATACCGAACTAATGTTAGAAAGAGAACAGAGATAACATTACTACAATAGGCTACATCAGCGGTTCCCAATTCCAGTCCTCACGCCCCCCCACCCACATTTCATATTTATCTCTTATCACGTGCAACGTTTGTTCTATTCGACCATAAGTGCCCTGCGAAGTGGGCAAAATATGCAGAACGTAGCTCACTTCTAATGAGCTGGTTATCTGAATTGGGTGTGTTAACTAAGCGAGACATGCAAAATATGCAGAGCGGGGGGGAGGTGCGAGGACTGGAATTGGAAACCACTGGGCTACATCATGCGTCATTCACCGGTGAGAAAACTTAAAAGTACTACAATACCAGGAGGGAAGATCGGGTTGTTGATCTTTATTTGCCATTCTCGCTCTGTATGCACAGCGTGCATGAACATGCTGATGACACATCCTGTCTGCGCGAACCGAGTGCGCAGAGGTGTGCTAATACATACGTTTACAGGCAGGTAGGAAAGCCAATTAAAACGCTCGGACCGAGTGTTTTGATTGGACGAACATTTCTTGGTCCTATGCCTTCCACAGAATGTATAAATACAGATAAATACATTTAGACCACTTAACTTAATGATTGCTATCGGGATGTGAAGAGACTTTCAACCAGCATAACAAAAAATGTTTCTGAAGACAATCACCTATTGCACCTTTAAATATTCATCTGTACTTCACATTGAACTATGGAACGGTCTCAGAACACTATAGTGCAAGGAAACTTTATGGTGCTCTATAATGATTTTGTGCCTTTCGTGGGGCTTAACAATAATACAGAATAGTATACACACAATATCGGATTTGGATCGGTCTCGTCTGACCGATACCCCGATCCAGCAGAAAATGCCAGTATCTGACCGATACCGAATATCGGATCGGCGCACCCCTACAAAAAACTGAATGAAATCTGTGCTACATGACTAGAAATGACTAGAAAATAAAGGAAAAGGGATCCGGCGTTCCGTTTTGTCAAAAACATCAACACTCATAATGCACATTAGATCCTGACACTGGCCTCTGTTGTTCCGACTGTCCATGAGCAGGAATACAAAATGTGAAAGTTCGATCTGTAGTTTTAACCAAAAGCCTGGAGCTCTCGAAAGCAGGATAGTGCAAAATGGCCCGCTTCGCATCATCCAGTGGACTGACAAATAGACAGGGATATACGGGTGCAGCTAACATAAAGGACACAGACAGATTTTACACATATATTTTAATTGCTACTAACGTTATAATACCAAGCTGGTTAAAAATCCGCTAACTTATCCTTTAAGATTTTTAGTTTTTTATTGCACAAAAACTATTGTCTGCCTTTTGATGATCAGCATAACTTAACAGCAAAACCTTCCACAACGTCTGACCAATATGTAAACAATGGCTAATGGGTAGGTTCACCTGAAATACACTGCCAGTGCCAACTAAAAAAAAAAAGAATTAAAATCATTGTGGTTGGTAATAGTGTACTGAAACAAATGAAAATAGATATACACAAAATGTGTGTTGATTCACACAAAAACCATACTTACAATATTAACTATATTAGTGTCCATACTAATAAACGATAACATTATATTTAATCGTATTTAAGAGTGGGCTTTACTCATAGAATGTTTTGTGAACGTGATGTCAGCATACACTTTAAAGTAGGAACAATTTTGTTTAGCTGTTAATGCTTTTATCATTCATCAGATAGAAAAAAAGCTCTGAAAGTGATTCCAACGATATTGTTTCTCTATGTTGTTAAATTTTTTTTGCGTGGATGCCACTATTCTCTTAGAGTTATAAAGTTTTTTTTTTTACTTTATGGTTATAGTTATCGTTTTATTTTAATTATATTGCTGGAATCGCTTTCAGAAGGATGTTTTCCAGTTGATGAATGATAAGTTATTATTAAAACTATCGTTTTAGGTGTGAATGAGCCTTAAGAACTGATTATTTCACAGACATAACTAAGTGCATCAAACAAATCTCTTTCAATGACTTGATGCCAATATCACAATACCAATGCAATGAGTGCTTTTGAGTAGTTCTTCATCAAAAATGCTTATTTTACCAACCTAATTTGTGTTCATCACATTACACCAGCTAAAAATAAACCATGGTTCATATGACCCATTTCTACACTGACATGAACTACTGCCACAGATTGTCGGCATTTAAAGGGATAGTTCACCCAAAAATGATCATTTGCTGAAAATTTTCTCACCCTCAAGACATCCGAGATGTAGATGAGTTTGTTTCTTCATCAGAACAGATTTGGAGAAATTTAGCATTCCATCACTTGCTCACCAATGGATGCTCTGCAGTGAATGGGTGCCGTCAGAATTAGAGTCCAAACAGCTGATAAAAACATCACAATAATCCACAAGTAATCTACACCATTATAGTCCATCGGTTAATGTCTTGTGAAGCCAAAAGCTGCGTGTTTGTAAGAAACAAATCCGTCTCAAAAACGTTTTTAAATTTAAACCAGCAAAATACGAGTCCATAATTCATAATAACACTTCCTGAAGTGTAAAAATCCATCTCCTGTTATCCTCTCACATTAAAATCCACCCACAAATTTGTTTAGGACTGTTTTGGACTCTTTTCACTTGTAAATGGTGCTTGATCTGCATATTTCTCTCCTGATTCAGTTAAGACAACTTTTTCACTGGAGAAAGCAATATTATGGAGAGAGGACTCGTATTTTAGCTGGACGCAACAGTTTAAAACAGTCTTAATGATGGATTTATTTCTTACAAACACGCAGCTTTTGGCTTCACAAGTCACTAACTGATGGACTGGAGTGGTGTGGATTATTGTGATGTTTTTATCAGCTGTTTGGACTCTCATTCTGACGGCACCCATTCACTGCAGAGCATCCATTGATGAGCAGGTGATGTAATGCTACATTTCTCCAAATCTGATGAAGAAACAAATTAATCTACATCTTGGATGGCCTGAGGGTGAGGACATTTTCAGCAAATTTTCATTTTTAGGTGAACTATCCCTTTAACGTACAGTACATTACATCCACTTGAATATATTGAATTAGTTTTTATTAAGCCAGCCACAGAGTATATTAAAGTGGCCTAGCACTCACCTCTCTGTATGGTAACATGGCAGATGACACAAACCCTGGCTTCTTTGTCCAGATATTTCAGTCTGCATTTGCGGTTGCAGCAGTTAGCACAGTACACCTGCAAAGCAGACAACATTATTCACTCAAACACTGGATAAACACAGTACTTCATCAGACATAAACCTGGATAAAACTCTCTGGTGTCCTTTAGCCCATTTAATTTATTGGCCCAATATGTCTTGGAAACAGCAACTCGGTGCAGCAATTCAAGCGGGAAACTATATCAGCATTAAAAATACATTCTGCTGACCCGGCAAATTTGCCTCTATATTTAGCACCTCCAGAGCAGAATAAACCACACACTGATGTAATGAAAACAAAAGACCTCGCACCCATAGATAAAATGAGGACTTTTGCTGTCTAAGGCAGTGGACTACAGGTTTAAGGCTTTCCTGTAGTTATAAATAAATGAGAACACAATGGCTGGACTGTGTCACAGACCTCTGCTCGAAATCAGCACAGCTGGCTGCATGTTAATTCATTGATTCACACTGTGGTTATTTGCCTTTCACCTCCAAACGTCAGGGCACACTTATCTAATACACAAAGTTACAAAGTCACTTTCAGAACTCAAGCAAACATATTACTAAGACTCTTCATTTATGCAAAATACACCATGACAGGGTGATCAGGATCCAAATGTAAAAGGGTTTATTTTGAAATAATGATCATCTGACTGTACATATCTTGCTTATTTTGAGGATACTTACCCGATAAATAATAAACGGACATGAAATATTGACTTGAAACTATTTTGTTATGTGAGAAGAAAGAGTGCAGAGTAACATAGTAAACAAGAAAATCGCCTCCCTGGGACAATAGTCAATTATACAATTTAAATGCAAATAAAATCAAATAAAAGTTTGGGGTCGGTGAGATTTTTTTTTATGTATAATATATTTGTGTTATATTTTTTTATAATAATGTATAGGTAAAATCACTCATGGTTCAGTTTGTATCATGCTTCTGTGGCCACAGGTTTGTGCATGCATGCACTAATTAGATTGATTTGAGACAGATATAAATAACCAATATTGTAACAATATTCTGTTTTTGTTTTTTAAAGAGGCCCTTTTACCGGATGTTTACATACATCCACGTTTACATAAAACCAGCCATATGGTGCCGTAAAATACATCATAGTACTACTGCAGTTAATTACTATTATTATAAATGTATTATATAAAAATATATATATATATAATATTAATAAAATATATATGTAATAATATAATATTAAATATATAACTACTAAAGTTTAAAAGTTTGGGGTTAGAAAGATTTTTTTATGTTTTTGAAAGAAGACTCTTCTGCTCAACAAGGCTGCATTTATTTGATCAAAAATACAGTAAAATTGTGAAATATAAAATATCTGTTCAAATTTCAAATAGAAATTTTGAAAATCTGTTAAACTGTAATTTATTGCGGTGATCAAAGCTGAATTTTCAGCATGATTCCTCCAGTCTTCAGTGTCACATGATCCTTCAGAAATCATTCTAATATGCTGATTTGCTGCTGAAGAAACATTATTATCATTGTTGAAAACATGCATCTTATTTTTTTATTTTTCAAGATTCTTTGATGAATAGAAAAAAAACAGCATTTATTTGAAACACAAATCTTTTGTAACCTTATGGTCACTTTTGATCAATTTAATGCCATCACGCTCTTTAAGGTCACAAAACTCTGGACTTTTAGTAGTACCTAGGATATTGAAGTCCACTAAAAGAGGGAGATCGGGCTCCTAAACTCTGGAATAGTCTTCCTGATAATGTCCGAGGCTCAAACACACACTCTCTGTTTAAATTTAGATTAAAGACACATCTCTTCAGCCAAGCATTTGCATAATGAATCTCAATCTCACCCTTGTTCCCAGTTAGATGTGATAAAAGTCACAAACATATTTTTTTGCTTGAAACGTTATGAACAGCAGCTACACAAATTATTTTCCATTTGTCTTTCTGTTTCTACCCTGGGATGCCCATCTCGAGGTATCTAGAGATTACACCAGCTCCAGCGTGGATCCAGCCTCATAGAAAGACTTCAGATGACCCAACACCTATGAAGAGATGATGCTGACCCCTGCGACGACCCCAGATGACCCCAACTTGAATCGACATGCACAACTGCCAAAATTTCTCTATATTGTAATCATTATGATCACACTTGTAATAATCGCTTTAATGAGCTTCTGCCTAAAATTAATTCATGTTAGCTAGCTGTATGATTCTATTATCTTGAACTGTTCATTTGTGAAATGAACATTACTTGGACACATTCACTTCTGCTTTGTAATGTAGACAAATGCATTTTCTGTAAAGCTGCTTTGAAACAATGTGTATTGTGAAAAGCGCTAAACAAATACATTTGAATTGAATTAATGCATGCTTGCAAAATAAAAGTATTAATTTCTTACAAAATAAATCGTACTGACCCCAGACTATTTTTGCTTTAATATTTTCCAAATAATTGTGGGTACTGACACTGAGAGACAACAAACTCACCTTCCCACATGCTCTGCAATGGTGTCTCCTCTTGGTAAAGGTAAACTTTTGCTCACAATTCATGCAGTTAGGAGCCTCGGAGTCTGGCACCCAAGGAGGCTGCTTTGACCCCAGACCCTCGACCTCGAGTCCTGGTGGATCAGGACTCTCTCCTGGGTATGGTGGAGGCTCTGAAAGCTCATCATGGCCGTAACTGGCATCATATTGCAGATAAGAAGGGGGTTCACAGTTATTTTCATCTTGGTTGGGAGAAATTTGCGAGCCATGCTCTGCAGAAAGGCCTGCTACATTGGGTTCAGCATGGCTGGTCCGGTGTCTTTCAGATGGAGGCCGTGTGGTTTGGTTGGACAACTGCTTTGGTCTCGCCCCACCGTAATTTGACTCTTGGTTAGGGGTGCAAACTGACTGAATTTCAACAGGGCTGGTTGCATTTTCATGGCTAATTGTTTGTGTGGCATCTGTCCTCAGCGGGCTGCTCTCCTGAGATGAGGAAGAAACGTTCGAACCTTCGCTCTCCTCCAGATACTGAAGAGAACCATCACTCTCAGGAGAAGCAAACGTCTCGACTTTACAGCTCTGCAGCTCCTCATCTAAAAAGCCTTCCACGTTTCCGTTAAATTCTGAAAAGCTGTCATCTACGAATTTTTCTGCGCCTGCGTCGGAGTTCATTTTCACATTTGAATTGAATTAATGCATGCTTGCAAAATAAAAGTATTAATTTCTTACAAAATAAATCGTACTGACCCCAGACTATTTTTGCTTTAATATTTTCCAAATAATTGTGGGTACTGACACTGAGAGACAACAAACTCACCTTCCCACATGCTCTGCAATGGTGTCTCCTCTTGGTAAAGGTAAACTTTTGCTCACAATTCATGCAGTTAGGAGCCTCGGAGTCTGGCACCCAAGGAGGCTGCTTTGACCCCAGATCCTCGGCCTCGTGTGCTGGTGGATCAGGACTCTCTCCTGGGTATGGTGGAGGCTCTGAAAGCTCATCATGGCCATAACTGGCATCATATTGCTGATAAGAAGGGGGTTCACAGTTATTTTCATCTTGGTTGGGAGAAATTTGCGAGCCATGCTCTGCAGAAAGGCCTGCTACATTGGGTTCAGCATGGCCGGTCCGGTGTCTTTCAGATGGAGGCTGTGCGGTTTGGTTGGATAACTGCTTTGGTCTCGCCCCGCCGTAATTTGACTCTTGGTTGGGGGCACAAACTGACTGAATCTCAACAGGGCTGGTTGCATTCTCATGGATAATAGTTTGTGTGGAGTCTGTCCTCAGCGGGCTGCTGTCCTGAGATGACGAAGAAACGCTAGAACCTTCGCTCTCCTCCAGATACTGAAGAGAACCATCACTCTCAGGAGAAGCAAACGTCTCGACTTTACAGCTCTGCAGCTCCTCATCTAAAAAGCCTTCCACGTTTCCGTTAAATTCTGAAAAGCTGTCATCTACGAATTTTTCTGCGCCTGCGTCGGAGTTCATTTTCACATCCTGACCCATCAGAAAGGCGTCCAGCTCCTCGTCCGTAACCATCATCACAGTCTGGTCGCTTTCAGGAAGGTAATCGTTGGCGATACTGAACTCGTAGGAAAAATGTGGGCTTTCTGAATAGGGTGGAGATGGGTTGCTTTCACACAACTCTTTCTCTGTTGGCGACAAGGTGCGCTTAAAGTTTCTTTCAGGGTAATGGCCTGAGACAGCAGTCGCCCTTTCTGTGTTCGACATGATTTGGACTAGCTCAGGTTCATCTTCAGGTGAGGAATCAGGCCTATTGGAGGAGAACGGAGCTGTGGGTTTTTCTAACGGAAGAATGAACTCTTCAGCCTCTTGAATCGCTGAATTTTTTTCCAGTTCAGCCTCATCTTTGGTTTCAATCACTGCTGTCTGTGGGTCTAAAGACGCCACAAGGGATCCACACATAGATACGGCCATTGGCAAGCAAGAGAGAGAAGGTTCCTTCTCCAAGGAGGGACTTCCAGCTGAATCCTCTGGAGTTTTAACACTGAGATCTTCAGACAGTTGGGTATCTGTTGAGTCCGGCTGGAGTGATACAGCATGCCCTTCTTTGGTTGCTGAAATAGCTTCATCTGTAGCATGAGGATCTGAATTACTAACACTGTCCTCGTTCACTGAGACTTCGCATGGAGAATTGTTCTGATCATTGGAGTTTGAGTCCTCAGGACAAGAACTTTCAATCTGATTGCACTCCAAAGGTGTGATGCTACTTGAACCACGAGGGTCACCAACGGCCGGTAATATGACATCCAGCAGGCTGAATGAGTTATAGTTAACCTCAGAGTCAAGTTTTGGTAATTCACCGGCGTTAGAAGCATCTTCTGGACTAGATACTACAAGACTCTCGAAGTCCACTAGCAGCACCTCATTAGTTTGTTTCTCAGGAACATCCAGCTCTTTAAAGTCCTCCTGACTGTCAGCCTGCTGGAGGTTTGCAGAACCCGTATCGTTCACCAGGTCACACACAGGCTTCAGCGACCGGTCCGGACAAGGCGGAGCTGAACTTTTGATGCCTCTGCTATCGACAGAGGACAGAAGATCCACACCTGTGAGCGGCCGTTCATTTGAATAAGAATCTTTTTGGTTTAAAGTAATACTTTGTGATGTAAGTCCATAGTGCAGGGCATTGACATCTGGGAGTGTTTGTGTAGCTGTGTGTTGCTCTGGTATGAAGCTCTGAAGGTCCAAATGGTGACCAGGGATGATCGTGGAGTCCGGACAAGGAGCGCTTGCAAAAGTGGCAGGCTTGTTCTCAAGCTCCTCTGAAAATAAAGTGAAACATCATATTAATTTATAATATAGCTTACATGACAACATCAACCATAATAAAATATCCAAATAAATATAAAATCATAAAACTGACAAACTATAAAATCAGACAACATCTATAGGATATATATTGTTGCGCATATTCAATATTATATATAACCTATGTCATATATGTGATTTGAATTTTCCATTCAAAGAATCCTGAAAAAAATGTATCACCGTTTTCAACATTGATGATAATAATAAGAAAAATTATTAATAATTGTGCACGATAATAACTAATAATTATTAAGCAGCAAATTAGCATATTTCTGAATGATCATGTGACATTCAAGCCTGGAGTAATGATGCTGAAAATTCAGCTTTGCCATCAAAAGAACAAATTTTAATTTTTAAATATATTCAGATAGAAAACAGTTATTTCAATTTGTAATAATATTTCAAAAAAATTTCAAAAACATTAAAAAAAACTAATTTTTTCCAAAATTTTGACCCGTAGTATATAGCACACACACTGAATTTGTGACCCTGGAGCACAAAAGCAGTGTTAAGTCGCTGGGGGATATTTGTAGCAATAGCCAACAATACATTGTATGGGTCAAAATTATAGATTTTTCTTTTATGCTAAAAATCATTAGGATATCAAGTACAGATTATGTTTCATGAAGATATTTTGTAAATTTCTCACCATAAATATATTAAAGCTTAATTTTTGATTAGTAATATGCATGGCTAAGGAATTCATTTGGACAGCTGTAAAAGCTGTAATTTTTTTGTACCGTCAGATTCCAGATTTTTATTCCAGAATAGTTGTATCTCAGCCAAATATTGTCAGATCCTAACAAACCATACATCAATGGAAAGCTATTTATTCAGCTTTCAGATGATGTATAAACCTCAATTTCGAAAAATTGACCCTTATGACTGGTTTTGTGGTTCAGGGTCACATATAAGTTAAGCAACCAACATGATATCATAAATCTTATGACATAAACTATAGGACATATACATCTTATATAGAAGGTATGATCAACTAATTGAATGGCAAAATGTACATTAATTCACCCTAAATTGAGAAGTGCAAAATTAATATTTGTCACACTATTATATCAGTAAAGTAAAAAGTCTCAAACCTGCGTTGAGCTCAAAGTCATCCAAAAGCTTGTCCAGGTCGCACACAGCAGCCTTAAAATAACTGTCCATCCTAGGACGGGGTACGATACACCTCACTTACCCCTGCAGAGAAACTGGGGCAGTTGGGACAGAAAGATAAAAATTAATAATACATTTCTCCTTCTTAGGAATCTAACTTAGTACTTACTGACAGCGACAGACAAAACAAGAAACAAATAGCTGTTCTCAATGCTTAAATACTAAAAAGTGGGGACAAATATGTATGGCTATTATTTAATATTTAATATTTGTATAATTGCAAGATTGAATACTTTCAACATCTGAATTCACAGCAACTTGTTCAGATGTTTAGTTTGCTGTGATTTACTGTGAAGTGGAAAGTGTGATTCCACCAGGCCTACAGTCCAAATCACAGATTTGACAAAAAACACATTGTAAACAACAATACATTATAAAGAAACTATAAATACAAAAACAATATAATGAATTAATACACTCAGAATATGGCACCTATCTGAAATTTCTCTGTCATGAGCTGACATCAACCTTTGTTTCGAAAGGGCTGTTAATTATTCATCTAAATGAACACTTAGTGCGTATTAGTCTTATTATGTTCAATAATAATAACAACACCATAATTTGGCTAAGATAAAGAGTCTATAATTAGCTATATTAATGTCATTTACCTGCTCACTGTCAAAAACTAATAAAGCACTCCATTCAAACCAAATAAAGCTTTCTTAACGTCAACCCTAAAATATCAAAAATAAACAATAACTTATTTTCATAAAGTTATATTAGCTGTTCAGTTATCATTAGCAATCTGCTAACTAGCTTCTAGCTGTTAGCGTCTAATCAGAAACAAACATAAATACAACCCCGGTAACTGTAATATTATATTTTATGATATCATTCCGCTTCATTATCTACCTTAATATGTGTCATTGTTCAGTCGCCTTCGTTTCTTGGCTGTATTCAGATGAACTGTTAGTGTATTTTACTGTAAACAGCTAGCTAATGTCTTCTTTTTCCACAGTCGACTATTTCCACCCGGCGCTGTTTAAAGGGGACGCGCACTATTTATTTATTTATTTAAAGGGGTCATATGATGCTTTTTAAAAGATCATTATTTTGTGTGTTTGGTGTAACAGAATATGTTGACATGCTTTAATGTTCAAAAAACACATTATTTTTCAAATACTGTACATTATTGTAGGTCCTCTATGCCCCGCCTCTCTCAAACGCTTAGTTTTCTACAAATCTCGCTCTCTCTCTCTCTCTCTCTCTCTCTCTCTCTCTGTGTCTCTCTCTCTCTCTCTCTCGTGGAGTGCATGCTGGGAGTGTGTGGGAGTTGAGCGCGTTGGTGAAAGTGATTGTGGAAAACTTTGTTTTCCAACTTTTTTTCCAACTTTTCTTTTTCCCCTCGCTAGTTAGTTTTATAAATAGTAGAAAACAAGATTTATTGCTTTGTTTGCACGACTTTCAGAAGGGGTGCAAGTGTGTACCAGAGGCCGGAGTGACGGTGGAAGAGCTGCTCTTAGTTATAGGAGAGCAAGTGGGTTTTGAAAACATAATTTCGGCTTCACGGATGAATAAGGCTGTCGTCGTGTTTTTAAAATCAGACTCGCTTGTTAATCAGTTGACTGTGAGCGGAATGTGGGTAAAGGAAGCGTTTGTTACGGTAACCCCGCTATCCGCTCCAGCAACGAAAATCATCATTTCAAATGTTCCGCCGTTTATATCCAACGAGACCATCACGAAAGAACTGCAGAGGTTTGGAAAGATTGCAAGCCATGTAAGAATGATTCCGCTTGGATGTAAAAACAATGCGCTTAAGCACGTTCTTTCCTTTAGACGCCAAGTTTTTATGTTTTTGAACTCCCAGGAGCGTACTTTAGAAGTCTCTTTCCGTGTTAATCACGGGGAGAATTCATACATGGTTTACGCCAGCTCTGAGAGCCTGAAGTGTTATGAATGTGGAGACTTGGGCCATAAACGCTTCGCATGTCCACATAAAGATGACCAACGTGCGTCTACATCTCGTGGTGATGTAAATAATACCGATCAGCAAACGCGTGAAAGTGAAGAACAGAGAACTGAGGAGCAGGATGAAGGGTCTACAGAGAAGGGCAAGATGCAGGAGGTGAGTGAGATTAATTTACATGCTATGAGTGTGGAGCAAGCTGGATGTAGTTCTGTCTCTGATAAACATGGAGATGTGACAGATGATATTGATAAGAGTGAGGCCCAGAGTGTTGTGGAATATGTGTGTGAAGTTAATGATGTGGCACAGGCTGAAAGCTTAGAGGAAAATATGGTTGATGAGATGGATAGTTTATCCCAGTGTACGGATGATGGATTAGGAGATGATGAACAGTGGACAGAGGGCTCAAGAGGAACTTATAAAGATTTGTATACTGTTGAAGAAATTAATGCATTTCTTGATAAAACTAAAGGTAAAACTGGTGTTGAAGTAAGTAATTACTTTCCTGATATGGACAAATGTATGGCTTCGGTGATGTGGACTAGGAAGGTGAGTAGTTATGAGGAGCTCTCACAACAGAAGCGGTATCGTCTAAAAAAACATATTACTGGTCTTAGACAAGGCAAAAAGACAGGGAAATCGAGGGGGAAAACTAAATAATCTTAATGGCTTTTAACGTTTCCTTTTCTTTCTGTTTTTTCCTCTTCCTTTTCCCCTTGCTTATGGAGATCTTGCGGGTGCGATCAATAGATGTAAATGGAATGAGGGATGGGAGGAAAATTAGTTTATGATCAGAAATAATACGATTGAAAGATCTGAGTGTTGTTTTTTTACAAGAAACCCATAGCAATCCAAATAATGAGATTGATTGGGGCTTGTGGTGGGAAGGAGAGAGAGTTCTCAGTCATGGGACTAATTTAAGTGCAGGAGTGGCTGTGCTCTTTTCCCCTGTTCTCAAAACAAAGATTTTATCAAAACATGAAGTGGTATCAGGGAGATTATTGGCTGTAAGGGCCGATATTAGGAATTTTCATGTTTTGTTTGTGAACATCTACGCTCCTAATATAAGAGAATAATTTTTTTATTAAACTAGAGCAATTTTTAAAACAACAGCAGGATGGTGATGTTATTGTACAAGGTGGAGATTGGAACTGCACTTTAGACTTTACACAAGATAAGACTGGAGAAGAACCTCATGCAAAGTCAGCTATTTTTTTAGCTAATATTATACAAAATTTTAACTTCTCAGATGTATGGAGAGAGCATTATTTATCAGTACGGCAATATACATGGATGAAAGTCAGCAATGGAAGCATTTCTGGTGCACGTTTGGATAGGTTTTATATATCACACAATCTGAGAAATAAGATTGTTAATACAGCTATCACCCCAACTGTTCTTTCTGATCATAAACTTATCACAATTGATTATATACTAACTGAAAGAAAGCATATGAGTTATTACTGGCATTTTAATGTTAAACTTTTGGATGATAAACATTTTTGTGAGAATTTTAATTTTTTTTGGGAAGCCTGGAAAAGTGAAAAGTGTATTTATGAAAGTGTCATTCAATGGTGGGAAAGCGCACATAAGAGGGTTTTGTCAACAATATACATCTCATTCCTCTTTAGTTCTGAAAAAGACATTAGAGTGGTTGGAAAAAGAGATCATGGACATTGAAAAGAAAATGAAGATCTGTACAAGAACTGTGGGCTGAAAAAAAGAATCAGCTAAGCTCCTTTTTAAATGAAAAAGTTAAAGGAGCACTTGTAAGAAGTCGTTTTTTAACAATAAGAGATATGGATGGACCTTCTTCTTATTTTTTTAACTTGGAGCGAAAAGCAGGTCAAGAAAAGCAGATGTATGTTTTAAAGGACAACAATGGATGTAACACTTCAGACCCAATAGTGATGCGCAAACTTGCTGTGGATTTTTATTCTAATTTATATGCTGCTGACAATTCAGATGAACAGTGCAGAAATCAACTGTTACAAGATCTTCCTGTTTTAACATTGGAACACAAACAATCTTTGGACACTGAACTCACTTTTGAAGAGATTACTGCTGCTGTTATGGGACTCTCCTCAGGACGTACGCCAGGATTGGACGGATTACCTGCTGAATTTTATAAGAGTTTTTGGAATATTATTGGTCATGATTATTTTGAGGTAATCCAAAAATGTATCAAAGAAAGAGTTCTTCCTTTGAGTTGTCAGCGGGCAGTTTTAACGCTACTCCCCAAAAAAGGTGACCTGACATTCTTAAAGAACTGGAGACCTGTAGCAGTTTTAGGCTCTGATTATAAAATTTTTTCAAAATGTTTAGCCAATAGGGTAAATGGTGTACTGCATACAGTAATACATAAAGATCAGTCATATTGTATAAAAAATAGATCAGATAACTTACATTTGGTACGGGACATTTTTGACTTTGCCTCTTATAGGTTTTCTGTCTTTAGACCAAGAAAAAGCCTTCGACAAAGTTGATCATATTTTTCTTTTTGATACTTTAAAGGCTTTTGGTTTTGGAGACAATTTTATTTCCAAAATAAAACTACTGTATGCTGGGGCCACATGTATGATTAAAATGGCTGGTGGCCTCAGTATTCCTGTGAAAGTCAATAGAGGCATTCGGCAAGGTTGTCCTATTTCAGGTCAACTTTATAGTATAGCCATTGAGCCTTTACTATGTAGACTGAGAAGACAGCTAACAGGTCTACAGGTCAATACATTGGATTTTAAGTGTCCTATTAAGCTCTCTGCATATGCAGATGATGTCACAGTTTTAATTTGAAATCAAAATGATGTTGAGTGTGTAAAAATGGCTTTGGAATGTTATGGGAATGCGTCTTCAGCCAAAGTTAATTGGCAAAAAAGTGATGCTTTGTGGTGTGGTCAAGACTTTATTAGTCCATCACTACCTGGTGGTTTGCAGTGGGGGAGAGCGGGGTTTAAATATTTAGGTGTTTTTTTAGGGACAGATGAATATAGGGAAAAAAATTGGGAGGGACTAGTGGAAAGAGTGTGTGCTCAGTTGTCTCACTGGAAATGGTTGCTACCCCAGCTGTCCTAGAGGGGGAGAACCCTGGTCTGTAACAACCTGGTTGCATCATCTTTGTGGCACAAAATGATGATTCTAGAGCCTCCGGAAGACCTGGTAAAAAGAATTCAACAGCGCCTGGTGGACTTCTTCTGGTCAGGACAGCACTGGTTGAGTATCTGTCAATACAGGAAGGAGGACAGAGGTTGGTCGACATTAAATCCAGAGTCAGAGCTTTTAGACTCCAGGCGGCTCAGAGACTCCTATATGGGGAAGATGTAAGCTGGGCTGGAGTAGCCTGTACCCTTTTGAAGAGAGCAGGCAAGATGGGATTAGACCGCCACTTGTTTCTAATGGACACTGAAAAACTAGACCTGACAGGACTGACACCTTTTTACAGATTAATGTTAAAAACATGGACATTTTTCAGCTTCTCTCGGGAGCCAAATGGTGTGAAGGGGCTATGGCTGAGAGAAGAACCACTGGTTTTTAATACAGCACTGGATTTAGACTCTTTTAAATCAGGATCCCTCAGAAAAATGTTGTGGACTGCAAATATTACCAAAATTGGACATTTTGTTTCTGAGGAAGGATGGATTTCTGCTGAAAACTTGGCTTTAAAACTGGGCATGAGATCAGTTCGAGTGGCAGATAGACTGTTGACTCAAATCTTTGAGTTTTTACCACCTGATTACAGACTGTCATTAGAGACACCGATTGGGGAGGAGGAGACTTCTGTCTTCCCAGACCTGAATCTTACAGCTGATATTAGAACATGGCAAGAAATGGAGAATGGTTTGCTTTCTTTTAAGACACCCCAGTTGGGACTTTTTAGAAATGCTGGAAAGAAAGCTATTTATGTACTGTGTGTAAAGGTGTCACATCTTCTTCAGCTTCAGAATGTGAGAGAGTCTAAATGGCAAGAGATTTTTGGGTCAAGCGTTTCCCCTAAAGGTTGCTGGAGGACCTTGTACAAACCTCCCATTGAGAAAAGAACTGGAGACCTACAATGGAGGATTGT